TGGTCAGTTCCTTATGAAGGCGTTTTACAGGAGTAGTTGGAGAGATAATGTATATTTCGTTTCAATATCATTTTCATTCAGTGTAGTTAACTCATTCTTAGGTTCTCCGGGGTCTGTTTCAATGTTATTTTCAGAGTAGATATTAATCATAAGGTTATCCGGGTTTCGTTTCAATGTCATTTTAAGTGTAGATAACTAATTCTTAAGTTCTCCAGGGTCTGTTTCAATGTCATTTTCAGTGTATATAGCTCATTCTTAGGTTCTCCGGGTTTCGTTTCAAATTTATTTTCTAGTGCAGATAACTCATTCTTAGGTTCTCCGGGTCGTTTCAATGGTATTTTAAGTGTAGATAACTAATTCTTAGGTTCTCCGGGGTTCGTTTCAATGGTATTTTCAGTGTAGATAACTAATTCTTAGGTTCTCCTGGTTTCGTTTCAATGGTATTTTAAGTGTAGATATTAACCTTAGGTGTTTTGGGGTTCGTTTCAATGACATTTTCAGTGTACGGGGTTCGTTTCAATGGTATTTTCAGTGTAGATATTAACCCTGAGATGATTTTCGGGTTAGTTTCAATGACATTTTCAGTGTAGTTAACTCATTCTTAGGTTCGTTTCAATATCATTTTCAGTGCAGTTAACTCATTCTTATGTTCTCCGGGATTCGTTTCAATGTCATTTTCAGTGGAGGTAACTCAATCTTAGGTTCTCCGGGGTCCGTTTAAATGGTATTTTCAGTGTAGATATTAGTCCTAAGGTTTTCCAGGGGCCGTTTCAATGACATTTTCAGTGTAGTTAACTCATTCTTAGGTTCTTCGGGGTCCGTTTAAAAGGTATTTTCAGTGTAGATATTAGTCCTAAGGTTTTCCGGGGGCCGTTTCAATGGTATTTTCAGTGTAGTTAACTCATTCTTCGGTTCTCCGTGTCTGTTTCTCTGGGCTCGTTTCAAATATATTCAACTGCAGAGGCCTCCTTCTTGGGCCCTGGTCAGTTCCTTATGAAGGCGTTTTACAGAAGTAGTTGGAGAGATAGTGGATATTTGTATCTGTAATAACTCAAGAACACACTGTGTATCTATATATACATTTTAATCAGTGAATAAAAGCACCAATCTTTGGCTGTATAAGCACCTCCCATTAAGTGTAAATTAACAAATAAGATCAGTGAAGATTCCGCCGGAAATCAATCTTACTGGGGAAAAAAACATATAACACATTTTGCAGCATTACCTACGGTATTAACATATTTAAATTTATAATCATAATGAATCGTAAATCAACCAATGAAATATTATTGTGTTGTTTACTTCAAAATATTTAGAACCAGCAGTTTAAGCTTTCTAATACATCTACTTTACCTAATTAATAAGTAACCCCCCNACACACACACACACACACAAGGATTGAATTGTATTGGTACATTTGTATTTTTTGTATATGTTTTATGTTTCATCTAAGCAGACACTTAGAACATGTCATTTAACTTTTTCCAGCATTAAAATTTGCAGATCTATTTCTGTCCAGTATAAGTAGGGACATTTTTGTATACTTTTGACTAAATGACAGAGTTCACCTACTTGTTTTCTCCCTTCGCTATATTTCATTACGTATTCAAAAATCCACTTTTAAAATTTGCAGTCCCATCTTATCAAAATTTTCCAAAACAAACCCTTAATCTGTCACGATTTAATTACTAACAATCTGCTGGAGTAATAAACAAATTATATATATAATTATGAATATATAATAAATAAGCATATTTACTAACAAGTAAATGCATCCCAACAATAATTATATATCTATTGCATAGTCAGCCATAGTGCTGAGTTTAAATGACTCACATTGTCGATCGGCCATGAAACAATACCAAGCAATCTTGAGGAGACATTGTTGTATATCAATGTCAGTTAAGTATCCTGTAGGTCGAGGTCACATGAAGGGGTCACAGGGCAGTAAATGAATTTTGTTATTGTACAGAGAATAAAAGTTGAGCTTTTCAACTTAAACTTCAGTTACTTGTATATGTGCATCATTACTAGACACTGTGTTGTGGTCAGGGACATGTATTTTATCATTACTAGACACTGTGTTGTGGTCAGGACAATGTATTTTATCATTACTAGACAATGTGTTGTGGTCGGGGACATGTACTATATCATTAATAGACAGTGTGTTGTGGTAGGGGACTTGTATTTTATCATTACTAGACAATGTGTTGTGGTCGGGGACATGTACTATATCATTACTAGACAGTGTGTTGTGGTAGGGGACTTGTATTTTATAATTACTAGACAATGTGTTGTGGTCGGGGACATGTATTTTATCATTACTAGACACTGTGTTGTGGTCGAGGACATGTACTATATCATTACTAGACAGTGTGTTGTGGTAGGGGACATGTATTATATTATTACTAGACAATGTGTTGTGGTCGGGGACATGTATTATATCATTACTAGACACTGTGTTGTGGTCGGGGACATGTATTATATCATTACTTGACCATGTGTTGTGGTAGGGGACATGTATTATATCATTACTAGGCAATGTGTTGTGGTCGGGGACATGTATTATATCATTACTTGACAATGTGTTGTGAGTGTTGACATGTATTATATCATTACTAGACAATGTGTTGTGGTTGTGGACATCTATTATATCATTACTAGACAATGTGTTGTGGTAGGGGACATGTATTATATCATTACTAGGCAATGTGTTGTGGTCGGGGACATGTATTATATCATTCCTAGACAATGTGTTGTGATTGTGGTCATGTATTATATCATTACTAGACAATGTGTTGTGGTCGGGGACATGTACTATATCATTACTAGACAGTGTGTTGTGGTAGGGGACTTGTATTTTATAATTACTAGACAATGTGTTGTGGTCGGGGACATGTACTATATCATTACTAGACAGTGTGTTGTGGTAGGGGACATGTATTTTATTATTACTAGACAATGTGTTGTGGTCGGGGACATGTATTTTATCATTACTAGACACTGTGTTGTGGTCGAGGACATGTACTATATCATTACTAGACAGTGTGTTGTGGTAGGGGACTTGTATTTTATAATTACTAGACAATGTGTTGTGGTCGGGGACATGTATTATATGATTACTAGACACTGTGTTGTGGTCGGGGACATGTATTATATCATTTCTTGACCATGTGTTGTGGTAGGGGACATGTATTATATCATTACTAGGCAATGTGTTGTGGTCGGGGACATGTATTATATCATTTCTTGACCATGTGTTGTGGTAGGGGACATGTATTATATCATTACTAGGCAATGTGTTGTGGTCGGGGACATGTATTATATCATTACGAGACAATGTGTTGTGATTGTGGACATGTATTATATCATTACTAGACAATGTGTTGTGGTAGGGGACATGTATTATATCATTACTAGACACTGTGTTGTGGTCGGGGACATGTATTATATCATTACTAGACCATGTGTTGTGGTTAAGGGCAGGTCTCCTGTCGGGACATGTAGTGTATCTTTACTTGAAAGTGTTTTTTCTCCGGGAACCCCGGCTTTCCTCCACCACCAAAACCTGGCACGTCCTTAAATGATCATAGCTGTAAATAGGATGTAAAACACAAACAAACAAAAACTAAGCAATGTACTTTGGTCGTGGACATGTATGGTAATGTACCATTGCTAGACAGAGTGCAGCACTGAGGGAGTATAACAGGTATCGTACCATTACATAAAAAATATGTAACGGTAAGGATATAAATTGTATCATAACTAGACAATAAGGTCTCCATACCATTACCAAACAGTGTAACATCATGAAGGACATGTATCATGACTAGACAGTGCCTAGAGATAGGGAACTTGTATCAAATCATTACTAGACAGTGCCTAGAGATAGGGAACTTGTATCAAATCATTACTAGACGCTTTGTCGTGGTGAAGGGCATGCATTGTATAACCATTAGGGTGTTTATGTTAAAGGAATGTTCTATGACTAGACAGTGTGTCGTGGCAAGAGACAGGTACATGTATCATTTTATGACGAGAAAAGAACATTACCTGACAATGTGTTGTAGAGGATATTATTTTTTTCGTTACTTAGCAGTGCGTCATACTAAAGAACATGTGCTTCACACGACTAGAAAATGTGCCATGTTAGGGAACATGTTTTGTTTTGCATCCTAATAAAGCAATACGTTGTGGTAAAGGATATGTAGTGTATCCTTACTACATGTATTGGGATGGTGATTAAAAGGAACACGTATTGTATCACTTCTAGACACTGCATTGAGGCAAGGAGCATGTCCATCAGTACTTATCTTCTTATCCTTAAGTAAAGGTACCTGTAAATCTTACAGAAAATAATATATTTTACTCCTTGGCCTAAACATGAATTCCCTGCACCATGTGACAACATAAACAACGTATTTAAACATTGCCCCAAAGTGGGTTTTCTCCGAGGCTTTCCATCAACAAGAAAACCCCTCCACACCCACCCAGCGCGCTAACATCTGGGCCAACAATTGTGATTTATTTAAGTTGAAATAACTTGTTTCATAATTGTTGTAAAATAAATAAAGTTTACATTAAAAGGAGATAATCATGAATTTTCCCTTTCTTGATAGTAGCACCCACGCCCAAACCTAAAGATCTTACATATCGCACTTGATTCCGTTTTCAAGAGCTTTCTCCGACTTTCATGATTTTTATGATACGTGCAGATGTGGTTTTCTGATGGACCTTTACAATTCAGGGTTTTCATCGATAAGTTTTATGGTCGTCATCATGATCTTATATGGAAGTATGCTATTTCTTTGTGCAATATGAGGGTCGACATTTTTGATTATACTCAATTTTTGGCCTTCTGGTTTAGTTGTCACCTTTTAAAAAAAAGACCTGAATTACAAAGCCACTTTACTACAAGAAACTAAAAAGAAATAGTTTTTCATATTTCTGACTTTTCTTGATATAATTGTGAAGATAATATTTAGATCTCATAGGCCACATATCCTTCATATTATTTATTATACACTGTACCTGTACATTGAAGTTATTTTTTTCTTGTGAATTAAAACCCTTGAATGCAGCAGGTGACCAAACAAGGTTAACATGATTTACTAAATATAAAAATTTGTCGTCATCAAGACTCTACTTGTTGTTTCTCTACAATGTTTCTGTAAAAGGAAAATTCAGCCAACAAATTATCGCTTTTCTAATTTGATCCAGATTTCCTCCTCTGGGTGAGTGACCAGTCCATGGACAGGGTTGACCACCTGGTCGTCCACTAATTTGACCTTGAATTTTCTCAACAAGGTCACCAGACAAACTGTTGCCTCTGCATAAGCAAACCGATACCCTGGACAAACACGTTTCCCTGCAAAACCAAATGGCTGGAAAGATAGAGGAGGTCTGGTCTTCACATTCTCTGGACTGAAGCGGTCGGGGTCAAACCTTAATGTAAAAAAATTGTAAGAAACAAAATCTTTGAACGAGTGGCTATTAAACTCTGTAATTTCATATCAAACAGTATAATGGAAGCTCTTATCTTAAGTTTTAGAAAATAGAAATTACTTTATGAGTGTGAAACACATGGAAGTACATGGATTTCAAAGAAACCTGGCAGTCAAATTGATTCCCTCTAGCCCTCTAAAACCGCCTGAAACCACCATTTATATCAGTGATATCTAAAAGTGGTACTGTAAATACGATTTTCACTTTATGTTTTATATTTTGTAAACTACTTCTGTAGGTTTGCAAATAATTGAAATGAATGTGAATTAATTGGACCATAACACAAGAAAATATAAAGCACTGGATTGATTTTATCAGAAACTAATGCAGGGTAAGTTGAGTCAAATGATAAGTACCATGAATGAGCACCGTTTGCACCAAAAACAGCATTGCATTATTGCTGGATTGCAAACAAATGGGTAAGGTGAATGTGTATGTTATCCCAATTCCTGGATCAAGCTCTCTTATGTTAGAGGCCTAGTTTTGCAGTTTCCTTATGTGTCTAAAGAATATGGGCAACATGTTAGCTGATTTAGATGGACAGTCAAGCACATGGACATTGTTTTGCTGCAAAAAAGTTCTGCTGACGGAACTGTTAAGCGCAGGTGCGTTATCTCGTGAAAAAATAGCACTCGCGCCATGAAGCCTCCAACTGTTGTCAAACTACAAATAGCACTGCAGACCATCACAATATTGTCACCAAAATAGTCCAATTTACAGGCGACAATTCACAAAGTGTTCACCACGATATATCTCTAGTCTCCACAACTCCAACAACCATGCGAAATGCAGAATCTTAATTCATCCATAATAAAAAATTGTTCCATTTAATCTGAAATTTTTTGAACATGTCATTAGTTTTATGTCAATCTTAGTCACTTACTTATTTGGGAGTGGCCAATACTTCTCGTCCTTCAGAGACACTCCTAAGGCGTGGATCACAGGTGTCTGTCAAATGATAGAGATTTACAAACATTTAATAATAATATAAAATTCGCATATCATAAGGACAAGTTTTTAATAAATCAGCTTTACTATTGTCAGTCTAAGGTTATCTCTATAAGTTACAATCTGTTTTCCCAGTATATAACTATACATCATCCAATCAAATTTTGTCATATCTTTTTTTTGTCAAAAATATGAATTGGGGATGTTATTTAGTGATACAGAGGAACAAGTTTAATAAATTATCCACTGAGTAAATTTCCCAGGAGAACTTCACGTAAGAAACATTCTACAGAAGTAAGAGGCAGAGTAGCCTAGTGGTAGTAAGCCAGGCTCATGACTGAAGGGTTGCGGGTTCGAGTCACGTCACAGCACTGTGTTTTATCATTAAATATGATATAATAGCACCATCTGTATGATCCCCAGGGAGTTGAGAAAGATATTGGCTAGTTGCAAAGATCCTATAACCATGGATAATAATTTGTGAACTGCTTTGAGACGACCTACGAACTAGGTTGTGATAAAGCGGTATATAAGAACCTCAAATTACCTTGAATTATAAGTATAAATACGTCTTACATTCTTTGGAATCTTGTGTCCCCCTAGTTCTGACTCGAAATCTTGAAAACGAGCTGCGAACGGAGCCACAACAGCACATCGTAGTGTCTCGTCCACAATCTGTCGGATGTACCTACAGAAAGATATAAATTAGAAAATAACTCATAAAACTCTCTGTGAATATTGATCTCAGCAATGTATTATCATCATAATTATCACCGTATAATGACTGTAATAGTAGCTGTTATATCATTGTGTTGTGTTTATAGTACTTTATGGTATGATGCGGGTACTATTATTATTCTCTTATGTGTGTGTCTGTCCATGTGCATGTGTGTGTCACTATGTAAGGGTGTGACCATGATTGTGAATGCATTTTCTTCTCTTTCAATAGTGTTGAATTGTACGTGTATTGTTCGTTATTTCTGTAACTCTTCATTTCTGGAGGTAATAAAGGAAATAATAATGGAGTTCTCCAGTGGTTATTTCTAGCATACATATGAATAATTTCACACAGAGAAAAATATAGTTTTGGAAAAAAATCTTCAAAGTTGTGAGACTGCTACCTACACATTGTTATTGGTCAATCTTATAGCAGGAGAAATTAACACTGAAAATAGCTTATAATTAACATAAATGTATGTAAGTTTCTATGTCTACATTATATAAAGGTGTAAGCTATATACACCCAATCACATGAACAGATTATAAACTATAATTAGGTACATATTACTATTTTCTGATCATCATATGTCAAAAGTTTCTTGCTAGTCAATACTAGCATGTTTAATAACATATATATATAAATATTTGATAACGACTTGTACATCCTAACCAGACTTACGGGAGATCGTCTATGTTGGTGTGATCCACCTCCTTGTTTCCCAGTTCTTTTTTAATTTCCCGGAATGCCTTCTCCTGTACCTCAGGGTGAGACGCCAGAAAATAGAATGCCCAGGTAAGCACTACAACAGCAATATTGGTTATAAACATTGAGTAACAGAATGTCTCCCCTTTGTGGGTGAGACAGGGGAATCTCAACCTGAGGGGGAAGATTCTTAAGTTGCCAAACACCAGGCTGAGACTTGAGAACCTTTCCCCAAGGGCTACATTGCAGAGCAATTCTTCCTTTGACCTTTACCAAAGATAACAAACAAGTCTACTTGGATTATCTACAGAGTGTCCCTTATTAAGAGCCCTCGATTAAGTCAGAACATTCCAAGGGTATAGAGAAGATATATGTATTGTGAACGGAACAATGGATTTCCAGGATGACTTTAAACAGGTCAACAACGTTACCTTGATGTTATCACAGGTAAAGCTTGAAATTTATCCTTACCGTAAAAACCCATGTAATTTGCGCACTTTTTTCCAGAAATTTAATACCCAAAGTGGGGGGTGCGTAAAATACACAGGTATAGGAAAAGATCGACGATTCTGGGAGATCGCCGTCTTGGATTATCTCCCTTGTTACACGGAACTCTTAAGACAAATGACGGTCAACAAATTTATTTATGTCAAACATTAATAAAAGATACAGTTGATACATAATGTGTTGTTATCTGAGTTTATGTGAAAAGTATTATTAAGTAGGTAACCGTTAGTAAAGAAAGTTTAGTGTATATAGTTAGAAGTCAATTTTTTTCAATTGGGGCAAAGTATTTGAGGTTGGACATTTTAAGTGAGTGATGCAGATGTATTTAAGTTTCTCAATTTAAAAGTATGATCCAGATGCATTTTAGCTTGAGAAGATTAATAAGGAACTGTTTGTAAAGGAAGGCACAATGAAGTGTAGGGATACGTCTATAAACACGTACGATTGCCGGTCGTATGGAAACCTCCAACTATGTAGGTGATGGCATCACTGTTGAGAAGCTCGTCATCGCCATCGCTGTATTTAATCACCAAGTCTATGATCAGTTCCTGACCTTGGATTGGCGGGTTGTCCCGACGATGTTTCACAACTCTCGATGTCAGAGAGGAGGACTTTTTGAGTGCTGCAAAAAATCATACATTGTATAGGACGATGTAACAATACAGGCATACAGTCCTCCTTTTGTATTTAATAGACATACAGTCCTCCTTTTGTATTTAATAGACATACAACCTCCTTTTGTATGTAATAGACAAACAGATAAATTGTGACGCCTCAGTTTTGGTTATTTTCATGTCCATACAATGAATCAAATCAATTTACAAACTTACACCTGAAACCTATGTCTCCTGTTTGCATCGCTCCGTGTTTGTGGAATTAAGATATTGGATTAAAAATCATTGGATTAAAAATCATTGGAGTACAGATCATTGGAATAGAGATTACGGAAGTATGTATTATTGGATTACAGATTATTGGATTACCGATCATTGGATTACAGATAATTGGAGTACAGATCATTGAAGTACAGATAATTGGAGTACAGATAATTGGATAACAGATCATTGGAGTACAGATCATTGGAGTACAGATAATTGGAGTACAGATAATTGGAGTACAGATCATTGGAGTACAGATAATTGGATAACAGATCATTGGAGTACAGATCGTTGGAGTACAGATAATTGGAGTACAGATCATTGGAGTACAGATCATTGGAGTACAGATAATTGGAGTACAGATCATTGAGGTACAGATAATTGGAGTACAGATAATTGGATAACAGATCATTGGAGTACAGATCATTGGAGTACAGATCATTGGAGTACAGATCATTGGATAAAAGATCATTGGAGTACAGATCATTGGAGTACAGATAATTGGAATAGAGATTACGGAAGTATGTATTATAGGATTACAGATTATTGGATTACAGATCATTGGATAACAGATCGTACAGATCATTGGAGTACAGATCATTGAAGTACAGATTATTGGAGTACAGATCGTAAGAAAACAGAGTACTTGAATACAGATTATTGGAGTACAGGTCCTAAGAAAACAGAGTACTTGAATACAGATTATTGGAGTACAGGTCCTAAGAAAACAGAGTACTTGAATACAGATTATTGGAGTACAGGTCCTAAGAAAACAGAGTACTTGAATACAGATTATTGGAGTACAGGTCCTAAGAAAACAGAGTACTTGAATACAGATTATTGGAGTACAGGTCCTAAGAAAACAGAGTACTTGAATACAGATTATTGGAGTACAGGTCCTAAGAAAACAGAGTACTTGAATACAGATTATTGGAGTACAGGTCCTAAGAAAACAGAGTACTTGAATACAGATTATTGGAGTACAGGTCCTAAGAAAACAGAGTACTTGAATACAGATTATTGGAGTACAGGTCCTAAGAAAACAGAGTACTTGAATACAGATTATTGAAAAATACATTAGTTAGTGGTTATTGTACAAAGATTTATTTACCTTCCTCAAAGGCTTTCGCTCTTGGGCTATCCTTCTCTGGTTCATTTTCTGTCAATCTTCTCTCCATCTCTGCCCACATCTGTCATAAGTGACATAGAACAAATATCAATGTTAATGTTTAGTTAGCCATCAATTTACCAGTAAAGGAGATATATCATCCCTTTATTGCTCACCTGTCACTTTTGTTATCAAAATAAGGCAAGAAGTTGAAATGTTAAAATTTTAACTTTCGTTATCAAAATAAACAAGCATTCTAGATCTGTGGGTATTGATGAATCAATACATGTCCTGTACCGGCCCCCCAAACTTTAACCTTCAGATTTTGGCCAAGATAGTTAAGTCCAAATCATGTCAAAAATAAAAAACAAAAATTATTTATTCACTTTCACTAAACAACATTAATGCTAGACCCCTAAAGAACCTCTGTCCATAAAATCAGCATCCTAACAATATTATAAAGTGAACGGTGAGCCATTACAAAACTTTAACCCAAACTTTAACCTGCAGATGTTGGCCAAGATAGTTAAGTCCAAAACATGTCAAAAATTCCCCCAAAAATAAAATATTTTCCATTTTTAATCCACAGCATTAATGCTATACCCCTTAAGAACCTCTATGCTAAGAATCAGCATCCTAACATCATTATTAAGCGAATGGTAAGCCATTACAAAACTTTAACCCAAACTTTAACCTGAAGATTTTGGCCAGGATAGTTAAGTTTAAAAAAAATATTTTCCATTTTCAATCCACAGCATTAATGCTAGACCCCTTAAGAACCTCTATGCTAAAATCAGCATCCTAACATCATTATTAAGCGAATGGTGAGCCATTACAAAACTTTAACCCAAACTTTAACCTGAACATTTTGGCCAGGATAGTTCAGTCCAAAACATGCAAAAATTCCCCAAAAAATGAAATTATTTTCCATTTTCAATCCACAGCATTAATGCTAGACCCCTAAAGAACCTCTACGCTAGGAATCAGCATCCTAACATCATTATTAAGTGAATGGTAAGCCATTACAAAACTTTAACCCAAACTTTAACCTGCAGATTTTGTCGACGGACGGACAGGCAGATGGATGGATGCAGACAAAACCTAAAGTCCCCCCGGTTTCACCGGTAGGGGACTAATAAGAAGTAGAAATGTTAAAATTTTAACTTTCGTTATCAAAACAAATAAGAAGTTGAAATGTTTAAATTAAGTTGAGACTGATTTTCAATTCAATGCTAGGATGTCATTCCTTCTAACATTTATTCTGGGTATAAAATACCAGACGGCTCCTGACTCTTGCTATTGGTTACATCAAATCAACAGGCCTTCAAGAATAAACTTACCACATCATAGCACCGCCGGAATTCCAGGATATCCTTATCATTAGCAAAAGATTCTCCAAACATCGTGAGTAGTGCGATCTTGAGAGAATAAGCAAACATGTGGACAGACAGTGGGACGTGTTCTTCCTTCACCAATGATGACCACTTCTTAGCCAGCTCGTCCGATACCTTAACAAAATGTAAAATTCTGTAACAGGAGAAACAGAAATGCAACGGCCAGACTGGGATTCAAACCCGGGGCCTTCTGAACTCTAGGCGGACGCCCTACCAATTGAACTACCTGGTCGCCGACGATTGACCCAGTCCAGTTCCGCTACAATTCTAATGACTTTGGATATCTACATCATATAACTATTAATAGAAAAATAAAATCATTGACATTTAACAAGCCTTTTTATTCATTTACAGAGTAAAATATATGAAATTTATGAATGAAATTTATGAATACATAATAAACTAGACTTCACTCAAAGCACTGATCCCTCATCTAAAGTTTAAGCATTTTCATAAAGAAGTGGCTAAGATTTACTGCGAAAACCTGTTTTACATCTGTATTAGAGCTTGTTTTCTCTTTCTGACTACTCATTTATAAATAAGGGATATTATTTAATAAATGAAAAAAGGCTTCACCAAAGGGCAGAAAGGAGAAGGAGTTCAGTACATGGACAATGCTTCACACTGTCAACTTGATTCTCAAAAACAAACATTAATATCTGTTTAAAAAGGACAGAACATTTCCTTTGTAATAGTTACATTGATGAAAGCTTGTTGTCCATGATCACATACTGAACTTTTGATAAGCCAGTATACAAGATGATTGTTTTTCCCAAATGTTTGCTGTGATTACACCTGCAATTCTTCATTACACAACTGAACAGATTAACAGTGAACGTGATCGGTATCCATGTTAGATTCCTCTACCGGTACCTCAGCTGATCACTACCTATACTACAGGACGTTGGACCTCCTTGCGGTTTATTTTGTTTACACTATATATATATGTGTTTGTGTAACAATGTGAAAATATTGATGTTTTAATAAAGGCTGTGATAAAATGTTTTTAAATTAAATTAATTGTTGCGCTGCGTATATCGTGCTGTTTGCGTATACATGTGCTGTGTACGATCACTGTGCCGTTTACCTGTGTTGTTTTTGTACACGTGAGTATGTTGTCACATGTCACTTGTCTTACCTTGTTACGTCCATATAAGGTAATTGTTCTAAATATAGGTGTTACCTCGTTTTCGTTAGTGGTCAGTCCAGTTGTCTTTGTTACATGTTTTGGCGCGGTTTTTAGTATTCCTTCATAGACAGAGCTAAAGGGTGGATGTAATTTATATCCAGAAGTTTCAGTCTTGAAGTCTTTTCTCTAGATCTGGTATGTACACATATAGATGTGACAAAGTCTTCTTCTGTAATTGGTTTATGTTAAATTATTATATTAATGAGATTTTGGATAAAGTAGCGTTAATTATATTGTGAAATTGTACTTTTTATAAAAGTAACAGAATCTTTATCTTATGTACATGTATAATTAATCGATACATAGAAAGCTCTTTTTAAAGTAATGTATATTGTGATTTGCATGTCTCTTTTACAGAGATGATAGTTTTCGATTGAGAACGCGCGGATACAGATCTTCATTCGTGTAAACCCCCGACCCATAGCTGGGGTAGGTATTTTAATATTGTATGTGATAATGTAAACAAGCGATAATTGATGAGGATAACTGTATTTAATATAATTATGTATAAGTAATTTGTGTAAGTAATTTCAACTATTGATTATGATGAAGTCAGTCACTGTAAAGTTATTCCCATTTTTGAATAACCTATTGTGTGTGAACGGATCAAATATGTATGCACCGAATGTACATGTTGGAAATTATATATGTGAGCGCTGTGTTTCATTATGTAATCAATTGTATTTTGTCTTTGTAGGTTTTTTTGATTATGTTCCACATATTGTGGGAATAAACCGGTAAACAAGAAATCTGCGTCGACCTTGACTTTTCATTCAACTTTACATTTGTTTATTACTTACGTCCTGATATGTTTGGTAGTAGCGTTTGGTATTGTCATGAGAAAATGCTGTATCGTACAAATGGCGTCTTGCTCGTCCATCAGATTTGTTAGCAAACTGTATTGACTTTGGCCCAATCAACGGCTCAAACATTTTGAACAAGCTTGCTGGAAAAAGAGAATATTCATACAGGTAACACCACCATCAATAATTTTTCTTATTATCCATTTTTGCACAGAGCTGTTAAGTCACATACTAATAATCAATATAGAGCAAAATATTCTTTATTCATGGAAATCAAAGGAACTAGTTTGTCACAAACAAAACATCTGATATAAGAAAAGTGGACGAGATAATTCCTTGCCTTAACACACAAAAATGTCTTTGTTATACGGTTATATTTACAGTCAATAATGACATTCACTCAATGACCATCCTTTTCTTAAACTGGAGTTATCTTCTCATAGCCTGAACATAGAACTGAATAAGTTTAAACAACAGTGATAATAATACATATGGCCGGAGGTATGCATTTTTCTACAAATGAGATACAATTTTTTGACATCGATCATCAAGAGTAAATACAGGCAGAGTTAACTAAGACTCATGTAAATTCCCGGCTTTTATTTTTATTCAAAGGATAAAATGTTTTGAAAACGAAATTCAAGTTTGTTGCTAAGACTAATGCATCAAACAGTTATTACAATACTTTTCTATTTTTGTGAGGAGGCTATGGGGTGATATCTTCGGTTCAGCACATGTAAAATGAACAGATGGTGAAGAAAAGAACCAAAAACACAATACACACAATTATTTGTTTAAACCATTGTTCGACCTAATAGGCTAAGTGAGCTTAACACTTGATATGACCTTTGTCATTTAACCGTGACCTTGACCATTTAGGGAGTACCCATAATAAAATGTGTATGATACACAATTATTAGAGTCATTTTATTGAAAATATTAGACTGGTATCCTAAGTATTTTAAGACATGAATATGGCATATCAAGAGAATTTTAATTTTGCCAACTGAGGCCTGGGATAGGAGCTGTCAAGATATACAACACAATCTAGTAAAAATATCTTATATTATGATTTAAACCATCAACCTGAATCTGTGACCTTGACCCTTGAGTTGACCTTAAAGTAGTATATTAATACATGACATTTAACGCTGATTTAGATAAATATGTATATATCTGGATAAACTTCCATAATATTGTCAGGAACAAAACAAAGGAAAGAATAGTAAACAATACCATGATACATTCTATTATGTCTTAAGTATAAAAGGATTTATAACAGCCCGGGGGTTTCAATACAGGACCTCCAAACTAAAGATGTACACCCTAATCAAATGAGCTACAGGTGATCAAGTGGCCTAGTCAAGTTACACAAGTAATACTGAAACATATCCATAGCTTTCAAATTCCCTCAGTTTGACCAAAATTTACCAATCTCCCTTGCAACTCTCTCATTCAATTCAAAACTCACACAAACTCAAAATCAACATTCTGGGGTCAAATGATCTCATAGTTACTGCAAGGTGTGTAATGATCACTGCAAGGTGTGTAATGATCATAACAGGTGTGTCTGAATTAAATGAATGCTTTCTGGAGTTATTTTGTCAATTTAAAGGGAAAGATAAATTGAGTAAAGCATTTTCAGCCACATTTCAGGCACTTTCTCCCTCATTGGAGGTTTCAGTGGTAGACAACTGTTAATATCTGAACTTTCATAACAAAAGGCTAAGGTCCACTTACGAGGTCTATCGAAGACTCCCTGATGTTCTTTGAAGAGTTCCGGTGATGCGATGCTGACAACATATTCCTTGCCAATCCAGAATGAGACAATGGAACCAAACTGTTTGTGTAGGTCCAACAAAAACTCATGAAGACTTCCGGCCCGATTGATGTCAGATACGTTGCCATCCCTGTAGAAAACATTTTTATTATTTATAAACAAGGCATTAGAAATTATACAAATCCGCTCTGTGCGGTTAAAGATTTCTTTAGCTCACTCAGTTCTCTGATACTTTACATACTAATTGTGTCTGAATATTCTTTGCATTAAAGAAAAAAAGTTTTCACACAAGAAATACAAGTCACATAATACTGGATATGGAATCTTTGTCATAATGAATGTTTAACTCATCGACCCCTGGAGACACATTTGAGCTCTTCCAATTCAAAGGTTGGAATAGTTCATTATGAAATTTCAGGGGTGAATGAGTTAAGTGAAATACATCGTTTAATATTTGTGAAGCAAGAATATGCTGAAGATATACTACAAATCATAGCATGTCAGTATTAACTCATTCACCCCTGATGACACATTTGAACTCTTCCAATTCAAAGGTTGGAATAGTGCAATCTGAAACTTCAGGGGTGAATGAGTTAAGGTAAACAATATATATACTTACTCTTGTGTTGTTGGTTCCAGACCAGGGATAGTACTTGGCTTGGCAGAACCCTGTAATATCACAAAAACACAACATTTCAGCTGATTTTTTTTTTCAAAACTCAGATAAATATCTGTTTAATCAATTAAACTATAATATATGATTTATTGCATGTAGGATTCCTTTTAGACGTATTTTAGACACTATCTTAAAACTAGGACTGATATTTGGGACACGGACTTATGGTTCTGAACTCACACTTTCCTGTGGGACTCAACCTTCTCGTCTCTAAGGAACCGGGACTCATCAAAATTTCAATAAAATTGATAATGGTCAGCATTGACTAAATGGAAAGCTCAGAATAACAGTATCATGACCAGAGTTGGATCCTAGACGTTGAATACATTGTGACATCATGGCATGGACAAGTGTTTTTATTAGGATGTCTACTATAGAGGCTGTAGGGCGAAGTCAGCATCTTAATCCAGTTCTTACTCTGAATATCAGCTGAACTCGAATTCAGAGAACATGGTCAAGATTCCATGGGCAAACGAGCAATCTATATGTAAAATGTGATCCAAAACAAAGAAAAAATAGAACCATATTAACTCATTCACCCCTGAAGACACATTTGAATTCCAATTCAAAGGGTGGAATAGTCCATGATGAAATTTCAGGTATTAATAAGTTTTCCAGATTTCCAAACTCGAAAAAATTAATTGAAGTAAAATGTGATGAAATTCTTAGTATGGCAAATTGACAAAAAGGAAGTTTAAACTGGGAAAACAAAGGAAATCTCACAACTGAGTACAGAATGAGTCATTTCAGAAATAAGAGAGAAAATAATGTCAACATTTTCGATATTCTAGAACAGCACAAACAAGATGGAAAGGCGAAGATGGAAGCAGACAAAACAACAGTAGAAGATTTAATTTATAAGGAGTATGTACATGTAGTGTGCAAGTTTTGGACAACAATGTAACAAGATAAGAAATGATAAGATTCAGTTTCATTTCAAATGAAACTAAAGAGAAAAAACAGACCTACTGTTGTCACTCTTCGGTCATCAGAAACAAAACAAGAATTCCACAGGAGTAGATGTGTCGCCTGCTCAGCGCTTTTAGTAAGAAAAGTGTTTCGGCTTGAGTCATCGCGTAAACAGATATGCGATTAAAAAATAGAAAAGTTCTTGCATTTACTACACAATGCCCTTATTTGGCAATAAAAGGGGCATTACTCCACCAAAAATGCATGTTAACTTCTGGAATGCGAACTCGTCTGAGCTATATTGGTAATCAATATGTGTACCGAGTTTGAGTTCAATCAACCCAAGGGAACTTAAGAGTATTAAAAACCTCAAAAATACTCCAGTTTATTCTACAATCTAGATAAGAATTGATCAGACAAAATACGAAAGAAAAAAGGGAAAAGAGGCCGAAATATGAGGCAAGAGAAGAACAAGAGGAAGAGACTGGAGATTCTATCTCTCAAGTTCACGGACCGCAATGACATCATCACATAATTATCCTTGCAAAACATATAGCATTTATTTAGTTTCAATTTTCCATTTGATGAACTATCAAAATGCTATTTCTTTATATATATATAAATGTGATGTTGTTCATCGAGGTCAAGAATCTGACATTACTAAATCAATCTGTACATGCACATATACTAAACATATCATGGGTGTATCGACAGACATTAGGCCAGTGTATGTGGTCTGGCCCTGTTTGACCTTTTGCTAAAAGACATTTGCATGCAACTCCATTGACTAGTGTATAGTCCCATATGTGCTGGACACTAATATGATGTGTATACACAGGAGCTGGACACACTACTGGTATATATTATAGGATAGGGAAAATCCAGAGGGTGGTATGTCCTTATCCTACACCCTTGGGTGAGTATTTTTCTCTCATTCCAACCATCAGAATAAGCCCATGCAGAAACCATGAAAATGCATTTGACTGGCCACCATTTTCTGGACTTCTATTATCATTTAGTTAATTGTTGGGATCCGTAAGTAAAAATCGTCTCCAATACTTTTTGCAATTATGAAAAAATCTACAACGAAAACCGATACCGCAGCCAAAGTCTCGTGACAGATCTTAATTATTGTATATTGTATAAATATAGGCTCATGCGTGCATGCGTTTGTGAGATCTGCGTGAGTTTCCAATCTCTGGCTTTATATGTCTCTGAGGGGAGTTTATAATTTTCTGTTCTACTAACAGCTACTCTACACCACAAATAAATGAGGCTATATAAAAGCTTGACACGAAGGTGCTGAACACTAATAGCATGATGATGTATATACTATTTATTTTACGTATACCCAAGAGCAGGGTCCGTATTCATGAACCCATTCTCATGGTCAAGCATGGATTTTGTGCTCAAGCCTAATTTCTTGTTCTGGTTATAACTCAATAAATAAATCTTATTTTGTCAATGATTTGGAAACATTTTGAAGAGTATTATAGCCAAATACTGTTTTCAATGTTTACCTTTGACTTTTTGATCGTTTCACATGAACTAAGCGAGTTACCAGAAAGTTGGTTTGAGCACAGATTCCATGCTTGAGCATGAGAACGGTTTCATGAATACGGGCCAAGGATTTTTACTCACAAGGTGGGGGGGGGGGGGGGGCAACCCGCTCAAACACCAACGTTAAGCAGTTGTAAGATACAAATTGGATCATTAGAACGTCTGATTTAAGATATCACTTACCGGGTAGAGATATATCAACAAACCAAGTAATGACACCAAAAACGTCACGGCAAATATCGCAAACTCCAACATGATGATGATGCTTCCAACAACTGCAAGTTGGCAGGAAATACTGCTACGTGCTTTGTTGACGTCTTGGTCTATGAAAAGCTTGCTGGTCTAATTACTTCCCCTACAAAGAAAAACTTGTCAGTGCAGCGCTTTGGGCCATTTCAAAACTTAATAGAATCCGATGAGGGGAACATATCAAAACTCAAATAATAAAATCGCTTAGAAATCTGGAAATACTAACGGCAGAGTGAGGAGTTAAACTTGTAGACTACCCCGCAAAATAGGGTGTGACTTCTTATTGTCCGGACCATTTTTATTGACAGAAGCAAATGTCTGTGGCCACAGGGACATGCTAATTAGTTACAGCTATATTTGGACCTATAACCGTCACAGTACCCAAATCGGGATACTTGAAGGAAAAAGTCACAAGAAATTTGCATGCTGTGCAAAGAAGTATTTTCAAATTGAAAATATTGATTTAAAGATGCTAATATACCAATAAAACATGATATGAACTTTATTTACTGCCACCTGTGGTTACAATCACAATTTTAGTTTGTAAATAATGACGAAAATGTAACGTTCTAAATTGATGCGCCATGCGACGTTATTGATTTTCAATTTTTGTATGTGATTTTTCACAATCCTACCTTTTCACAACTAATGGTAGGCTAGTTTGGAAAAGAACTTCATTCAGAACGACCATTGACTCTTAAATATTTCAAAGATATGCCATGTTCTGCTAAATACTTTTTCATCTCCAAATATAAGCCAAAACTGGAAGAGGTGTTCCGATTTGGGTACAGCTACACCTGTTTCGCGATTACGTAACCATGACTATATTTCCAGTTTTATTTAAAGAACCACGCGTCGGAAATATCAACTTGTTATCAAAATGAAAAGATAATGATATCTAGGAGAAGTGAACAAAAATTACTGGGATCGGTACTATTCAGTCACTAAAAAGTGTCCCGATTTGATAACTGTAACGTTAAACTAAGGTGTTCAGAGTAATTTCACATGTTAAGGGGTTTAGATCGACTTTCGGTAAAAAGGTCCGAAAGTCGACCTAAACCCCTAAAACATGTAAAATTATCCGAACACCTTAGTTTAGGTCCAAATATAGCTGTGACTAATTATTAGGTCCCTGTGCCTGTGGCCACAGTCAACTGTAAATGTCTACCCTTTAGGCTTTCGCTTACAATGTATAAAGGGCCCGATTTCGTGATTAATTTAATTACATAAAAAGGGGAAGAATAATATCATTTGTGTAGCAATAATATATCAGTTTCATTTAAAATCAAAGAACTGGAAGTACTGAAACGCTATTTAAAACTCTAAGCAATGGGATTGTTGATTTCCTCCGTTAATGGAAAATTGTGGCAGATCGTGTTTCAGAAAATCAAGGCATACAACTGACTAATCAGTTTTGACAGGTTGTTTAGTAACAGGAGCGGAAAAATGCAAGACCGCTGGGGTCAGCACCCGGAACCCTCCGAACTCTGGACAGAGGCTCTACCAATTGAGCTGCCTCGATCATCGCTGACGATCGACCAAATCCAGTAAGGTAAGTTTAAGGGATGAAAATGATGTCTCAAAACATGAAATCTCTGTGCGAATATCATGTTCAGTATGTGAATAAGATATTGAACAGACTCCTGCAATGTTCAAAACTCACGAACAATGACATGTGTTTCCATATATTACAAATAAATCGTGAAACTAACAAGGCTGAGCGAACAAGCCAATCCTCGACACTCAAGGAGTCACACTCACTTACGCTCTCTGCACCCTTCGAATATGTCATAGCAAAATCGAAGGCACGAATATAGCTGTTTGGTTGGTCCCAGTTAAAATAACCTGACCAATCGCTAGTCTGACACCTGTACTTTGAAGATTACAATGCGTCCATACGGTTAGCTAACGCGATTCATGGAATATGTCTAGAAAGCCAATGTTGTTATGACCTCATGAATGTTGAAAAAGTAAGTTTCATTCCTTCATTAACTTTTTAAAATGACGGCACATCCGGTTCCGGTAACATCACATCCGGTGAATATGGCGTCGGTTCCGAATCCGGTAACGTCACATCCTGTAAGAATACGCCGGTTCCGGGAAGATGGCGTGGGTTCCGTTTCCTGCGCGTCATATCCTGTCTCGCAAGTTCCTGTCCCCGCCGGAAAACGGCGATTTCCCGGGACACGTTTGGCCACGTCATTTCCTGGTACGTTGTATTCGGACACATTAAAACTATGTCTCCCAATATGGCGTTCGTCATTTCCTGTCCTGTAATTAATTCCTGTCGGATTGCACAACACCTTGTATGGACGCTGTGGTAGTTTTGTTTGATAAAACGTACAATGTATCTACAGTTTTATGACCGGTATCTACACGTCTCTGTTAGGAATCGGTGAAAGAAAGAAATGTGTGCAACTATATATGTATATACATGTGTAGATTATACACATATATATATTTAATACAATACATACGATATGTACACAATCTTGAATACAGCCTTTACTATAAAACAATGTTCATACAATGGTCAGTGTCTACACATCGCAGTTTGGATCGCGGTCTGTTCGCTTACAATAAAAAAGGCTGAATTAACGATGTTGTCTTTGACTGCAAACCCTTTTTTTTTGTTCCGGAGCCCGGAACATGAGTCTCCAAAGCTCGTCAAAAGGTGGTGAGAGGAGCGTTGAAGTTTTGTTTTAAGATACTCTTCGAACTAAATTTGCAGTCTTTCATCGTTCTGATGCGTATTTTCTGCCGTTTTGGTTTCAATTTCATGCTGCGTCTGTGTAGTCGTCGATGAGCGGTAACGAATGAGCTCGTCGTTTTAACGATATTGGCCTTGCTGACTAGGTACGTTTTCGAACAAAGGCCGATCATTTCGTCTCCTTCGTATTCTGTTTTGAAAAGTCCCGGCGTTCTTTTGTCGTGAGCTATGTGACGTTTACAGCATTGTATCTGAAGCCTAAACGGGACTCTGTTCCGTTTACTTTAAATATGTTTATTCAGCAATGAACACGGTCTGAAAAGACACACAAAGTAGTGGTAAATTGCACAATGATAATTAGCATGAATTACGTATAGAAACTAATCATAACATACAATCCTCTATCTCCCCCAAGTCTTTGGTACACGTAAGTAATAGGGTCACTCGTATTAGTCATAGGAACAAAGACTGATGTGAAATATGAGAATTATTAAGAAATGTCCGACTAATTGTCCTAAAATAAACAAAATGAAGCACTGAGTCTCCGTGAAAAGTTGCACAACAGATATAACACTTAGGAAATCTTCCAAGTAGAAACAAGTCATTGTTATTTGGACATTTTATAATCTGAATGCCAAGCTAGTTTCTTTGTGGCACGACCAGAAGTCCGGATCGGTGCAGGGGACGGAACTACTGCCTGTGGCGTATGTGTCGAGATAGGTGGCATCGTTGCCGGGGGTGTGGTGATTTTGCTCACTGGGGTTGCAGGAGAATCAAACGCTAGATGACGTCGACTGAAGATGTCTCGAATACCAAATGGTGGTGAAGGGTGATCAACATCAGATGATGAACGAGGCGAACGTTGTATGGTTCTAGTAGTCAACGGAGTGGATGGTGGAGGACTCGTATCCTTACGGGGAGGGTTGCTCTCTTCACCGACGACGGTGTCTGGGGCGTTAGAAGTAGGAGACGTCGTACGATGGGAGAGTCCAATTTGATTGTCAATTGTGTAGCGCGCTGGTGGTGTAACGACTGGGATATACTTCCTTAGGAATTTCCTGTTGCGTAAGGTAACACGGCCAGATCCGTCAACCCGAACTACATATTGATCAAACTGGCGAACTTCGGTAATGATTCCAGTCTTGTCCCATTTAAGGGGGTGAGGACCAACTTGATTTTGGATGCGTACATGATCTCCAACTGCAAGAGGTGAGAGGCGTTTGGTGTGTTCAGACCAACGTTCACTTTCTCGCATGTGACGATTCCGTAAAGCCTCCTCGCGAGCTGCTAAAGTCTCCAGCCAAGTGTTGTGTGGAATGTACCGACCGGGTGGTATAGGAATAAAGTCTCGTATAGGACGACCGAACACGAACATAGGAGGGGATAGTTTTGTGTCTCTGGCAGGTGTGTTACGATACTGGAGAATAGCGCGTTGGAACGCGTCGGTGTTTAAGTCGCCATTGGGACTGGTGTTGCCAGTGATCAGACGCTTCACTGTTTTGACTCCCACTTCAGCACGGCAGTTACTATGGGGAAAAGCTACAGATGACAGTCTATGGTGAACGCCCCAGTTCCTGAGAAAACGACGTGTGGCCGCAGAAGTGAACTCGGGTCCACCATCTGATGCTAGTTCATCAGGGATACCAAAAGTAACAAATGTCCTTCGGAGACAGTCTATTAAACCATTGGAACCATCAGAGGCTTTCTCCACCACCGGCCAGTTGGAATAACGATCAACTACCACTAGGTAATTACAGCCCATGTAGTGGAAGAAATCTGCACACACGCATTGGAATGGATAGTCAGGAGTTATCAAAGGAGTCGGTGGTGCATTCGGGTTAGATGGAGCAATACGGTTGCAGTGGTTACAAGTTGCGCGTAGGGAGGCGATGGCAGGCGTGATACCAGGCCAGAAGATTGACGCGTCAGCTCTTGAAGTCATAGATGTCACCCCTTGATGTGCCGAATGCAGGGAGGCAAGGGTTTCTTCCCGGAGTGATGGTGGAATGACTATTCTGTCTTTATAAAGTACTACACCATCAACCGTATGAAGGTCGTCGCGGAATGGGAAATATTCTTGCAGTGGCCTAGGCAGCTCGTGACGGGTTCCCGGTATACCGGCCTCTATCAGAGCGATTAACGCCTGCATGTTGTCATCGCTGGTAGTAGTGGTTCTAACGCGCTCCCAGGTGACGGATCGTAAATTGATCGCATCTAGTGTTGAGGAAGCTGATGCCACGACATGCTCCTCGACAAATGCTAGTCCTGATGAAGGCATGCGTAGACCACTCATTAGACCAAAGTGGGCGATGTCGACGGCAGAAAATGACAATGCTGCAATGTCGTCCTCGAG